TAGTCGGTAGACTGTGCCGCAATACACTACCAGCCGGTAGACTGTGGCGCAATATACCATCGGCTGCATGGTAGACTGTGCCGCAATACACCAACGACTGGTAGACTGTGCCGCAATACACCATCGGCTGGTAGACTGTGCCGCAATACACCATCGGCTGGTAGACTGTGCCGCACTGCACCACTGATAGGTAGGTTGTGCCACACTACCACTACTGTCTGGTAGACTGCGCCGCAATGCACCATCAGTTGGTAAAATGTGCCGTAACACGCACATCACCGCTTGATAAAGCTCATTTTGTTATGTCTCATTTAAACCACTGCGTTGACCGGCAGCGGCGCGGGATGTGGACGCGTCGCTGTGCCACCTGGACGAGTACGCCAAGGCGGCGCCTACCTCCGACCCCAGCCAGTGCGACACGGGCGACGTCTCGCTGGTGCCGGTCATCCTGCTCTTCCTGTCGCAGTTCGTCTCGGGCATCGGTGCCACGGCCTACTACACGCTCGGCCTGACCTACCTGGACGACAGCGTCGACAAGAAACAGTCGCCCGTCATGTTCGGTGGGTGCCAGTTGTTGAACTGGGTGGGAACCGGTGCGTGGTATGAAGCGTGGCATCGGAGTCAGCTGGAGAGTTGGAACGTAAAGAGTTGCTATCAGAGTACTGTGCTGTGTTGTGTTGTTAGTGTCTAGTGACATTGTAGACTCAATCCGAGTGAACCCTGTGTAAGAACATGAATGATCGACATCCGGCTTCGCAAACTGGGTCATACAGATCACAAACATATCTGATACGGCGGCTATCAGTTTGCTGACTGCAAAGTCGGCATCAAGTTCGCTATCATAACATGTCTCATGACTCAAGGCGTGTAAACTTTGAGTTGAGATGCTCAATGACAATAAACAACTCATTACTCAAACCACATTCCGACAACCCACAGCAGCCCCGCATACGTAGGTACTTTCCGCTATATGTTATAGTTGTCACCTGTTAAACACCGACAGCACGCTTACATATGTCCTCTCCAACAGCCATCTCCGCCGGCCTGCGCGTCATGGGACCTATGCTCGGCTTCATGCTGGGCTCGTTCTCGCTCAGCAAGTTCGTCATCCCCAGCCTGAAGCCGACCATCTCGCAGCGGGACCCGCGATGGATCGGAGCCTGGTGGCTCGGTAAGACCGCGGCGACGCCGTCCGCGCCACTGAGGGCTCTGAAGTGCGGGGCATCAGCAAATGCCAGTGCCGCAGTGTTTGTTTGGACATTTAAACAGAATCGATGTCATATGACAATTGACAATGTCTATTGATATTTTTGTTGAGATGACAGACAGACAGACGGCAGTTGTGACGATGAAAACACTTCCCTTCCGTGTCTTTTCCCGACCTAGACTCAGCTAAATAGCGTTCCCCCGTCGCCACTCCAGGTTTCTTCGTGCTGGCCGGCCTGCTGCTGGCGGTGTCGATGCTGATGTGCCTGTTCCCGAAGCGGCTGCCGTCGTCGAAGGCGCCGGACAGTTCCTCCGACTCGGCCACCACCGAGGAGACGGAGGAGGTGATGATGGATAAGCTGATGGGAAGCATGAGCGAGCTGCATACGGGCGCCCGGCCGGCCGAGCAGCTGGGCGGCCTTCGGGAGGCGCTCTTCAGGCTCTTCAAGAACCCGCTGCTGATGGTGATGCTGTTGAACGTGGTGTTCGCAGTCATCGGCTTCATCGGCTACTTCACCTTCATGCCCAAGTACCAGCAGGCGGCCTTCAAACAGAGCGCGGCCAAAGCCAGTCTGTTCTCAGGTAGATATGTCGCCGACAGATGAAACGGTGCACGTATGCAGATGTTTGAAGTCAAGCTGAGAAAGATGCGATGGTATGATGTACAAATTTGCTCACGCTACAGCGTAATTTCTTATACAACAATATGTGATTATCCTAAAGAGTTCGTCCTTCATTTATGTCACGGCCAGAAAAAAAAACAATACCACCGAATGTGCGGATACTCGGTACACTCGTATGCCCGTTCCAGCTCCAGTCTACAGCGATGAACAGTGCGATGACCGACCTCGCCGGGTTATCCCTGATCTCTCTATGACACCGTCCCATCATCGCCAGGTCTGTCCGGCGTGCTGGTCACCCTGGCCGGCTACATCGGCTCCGGCATCCTCATCAAGCTGCTGCGGCCGCGCGCCGTGTTCGTCACCGGCTACAGCGCGCTCGTCAGCGGCGTGCAGACGTGCTGCATGTTCGCGCTGATGGCCGTCCGATGCCCGGAGGCGCCCATGCACGGCACCCTCGGCGACGCTGGACAGTGAGTGGACCCGGGCACGGGGGAAGAAGTTGGGGTAGCTGCTGCCTGTGTGGCCGGGGAGGTATTAATTGAATGCCCTGAACAGAAAAAGGTCCCATGTCTAGACCGCGGACCGTCACCTGACGAACGCAACCCATGGCTAGAGCTCTCTACTCTTCCTGACCAGAGTACTTTCCCACTACTAGAACTCTCGCTAGGACAGCACCCCATGTCCAACAATGTGACTATCCAACGTTCCGATCTCTCAAGTACCACCCGATGTCCATATCGCAGAGCACACGTTGAAAAGATTACGCAATACCACCCCGTGTCCAGTCTCTTGGTAGCCCCTCACACACCGCACACCGCCCCGCAGGTTCATGCTGACCGCCGACTGTAACGCTGGCTGTGGTTGCAACGCCAACGCGATGGCGCCTGTCTGCTCGCAGGACGGCATGGCCAACTTCTTCAGCCCGTGTCTGGCCGGCTGTCAGACCTTCAGCACCATAAACGGCACCACTGTGAGTCCAGACCCCCAGCGGGCAGGTCGACGTCCGTGGGCCGAGAGCGAGAAGGTGTACGACGGAGGTTGCGCACCTAACTCTCCCAGTCATCGCGGTATTCTGGCTGAATTAACAATGTGAACAGCTAACTCGACGAACAAACCTGTTTTCCTGGTACTGGCTCCACGATGTTCAAGCATGCCCAATTGCCCAGCCCATGTCCAGTAGCCAGTTGCAGACTGGTAGTTGGTTTGCGGTCGTGGCTTTGACCGTTGACCTGTCGCTCAGAACCTAGGCCCAATGACACTTCTTCCTGCCCTGGCCCACCTTCGCATATTTGACACGTCACAATCCCTCAGACATATGGCAACTGTAGCTGCATCGTGGAGGTGGAGGGCAAGAGCGCGCCAGGCGCCGGCACAATCTTCCAGCACGCGGCCAGCGCCGTCAGCGGCCTCTGCGACATTCCGTGCGACTCGCAGTTCGTCACCTACATGATCATCCTCGCAGTGATGAAGTTTGTCGGCTCGACCAACCGTACTGGCGGCATGCTGGTCTTCTTTAGGTGCGTAAATTACAACGATGAGTGGATTTTCATGTTTGCTGCCATCTAAGCGCAAGCGTGCTGTTGTTTGCGTACTGGTCACCACTCGGGGTCACAACTGAAAACCGACACCTCTCCCAGGTCCGTTGCCGACGCCGACAAGTCCCTGGCCATTGGCCTGGCCACGGCACTCATGTCCGTGTTCGCCTTCATCCCGGCGCCCATCCTGTTCGGCGCCGTGGTCGACCAGACGTGTCTGGTCTGGGAGGAGAAGGCGTGTGGCGGCAAGGGCAACTGCCTCTACTACGACACCGACAAGCTGCGGGTCTACCTGCACACCGCAGTCATTAGTGAGTTCCGCGACAGCCGGGAATGGAGATAGTCCGTAAGTGGCAAAGCTGTCTAATGTGGATAAAAGGAGATTTGGAATTATGGAAAACATTATCTGGAATCACTCTCGCTACAAAACAGAGCAGATAGCTTCTTATCACAGTCGCAAACCAGTGATGCAAGCACCCCGTTCAACTCGATTTCCACCAAACCATCCTATTCTCCCTTAGTTCAGTAATTACTAGCCTTAGCAACATTCCCTGGATCAGATCAAATAAAAATACCTCTACCAACATTTTCGGCAGCTGTCCATCACTGCAACTGTAGCAGAAACTCACAAATGCGTTGATCAAATTTCAACTGACCTTTGAATCCCCGCTGCACCCGTTTCAGTTCCATTCGCCATCAGTTTCCTTCTGGACATGGTGGTGATCTACCTCAGCCGAAACCTGAAGCTGTACGGAGATGACGAGGACACTCCTGCCGCCAAGAAGGGCCAGAAGAAGCAGAACAACGGCACCATGGACATGCCCATGTAGCCCGGCGCAGGCTGTAAAGTGTAAGGCCACATGTCCGTATACCGCACCATCTGCGCGCGAGTGTGCGCGCGAGAATGTTGGTGCCTGTTTGCACGCCTGTGACCTAGTGGGCGTTTCGGTCATGTATGTCACCCCAGCCTCCGTATAATTGAGGGCTGACCAGCGAACTCCTTTGGCGTATGTAAGCTTTGTAATAGCTGGGACAGCTTCAGTATTTTCGGAGAGCTGCCGAGACCCGCCGGTCGCTGAAGACTACCCGAGCCGCCCTTCTGACAATACGAACTAGGTCAGCAATGAGGTGGAAGCGATGACTGTGCCATACCATAGCTCGCGCCGGCCAACAGCCCACTGCAGGTGCCCGACGCTTAGTTCACTACCTGTACATGTGCAGTTATCATAGTTTATCACCTGTGCAAGTGTTGATGGCGCGAATGTTGTTGAATGACGTACCCAGCAGGACGCATATATGAACTGTTGTCGATACTCGAGCATGAAGAAGCACGCGAACAACTGAAGTAACCAATACCATGGCGCACCGTGTGGAGACTGTATGGCGCGATATCGTGGTGTTGACGTCGCCGCCCGCCGGACGGGCGATCGGTGGGTCACCCCGACTGGGTCAGGCCGGCCGTCTGATCACAGTCAGTGATCACATACGCAGTACCTCGAGCGTACCTGTCCGTTACGCTGAACAGTTGCTCAATATCAGGACCAATGATTTGCGACATGCACCGTATGCACGTCCCCAGAATGCATCGAATGATTCGTGTTTTACCCGTGACATGTGCTCATGATTAAACAGGGCCCAGGAGGTCAACAAATGTATTTAGAAACAGGCCTTGTATTCTTATTGGGGGTGTTGGTGCGAGTGAATCCCAACAAGGTTCACAATTCACACCTAGCGAGAGGTATCACCTGTATCTGCGAACAAGGCACACTCTGCCATTGGAATGCCGACAGAAGCCGCACTGTTATATCACACATTCAGCCAGATCTCTGGTCGTAAAATGCCCGCACCCTACCCTGGCTATTTTATCATCCAAGCCCAAAGCTGCACCTGACTGTCACTTGTCACGACTTTGTACACGTCCGCCAAAGCTCTTGACACCCTCCCAGCCCATTCGTGCCCTTGAACCCACGTCTCCCTGTTAAGAAAACGTCGCCTGACACACCTACAGTCGCCGCCCAAGCTGGACGTTCACATATGCACACCCCAGCCGCCCCACCAGGGTGGCGGCTCTCTGCCCTGATCACCGCTCTGGTCGGCCCACTGGCCGTCCTCACCGTCACCGACTGGCCCGCCTCCCGCCGCGCGCTGGTAGGTACCTCCCGCAGATGGGTCCTACATCTCGTCCTTGACGCTGCGGCCAAAGTACTCCAGCTTCTTGCTAGGGTCGGGAATAATCTGAAAAAATGCACTTTTATAAGCCGATAGCCGAGAATGGTTCAAAGTCCCGGAACCTATTGCTTTAACCCTCGCCCGTAAACGGCGATCTGCCACCTTCGCCCATGCAGGGGGGGGGGGTTGGTGCGACCCCCCCCCCTTGGCGTTTGAAAACGGAGCGTCGTAGAGCTTAGCGGAAAAAACCAACGGATTGCTCTCAACGAGATCTCGCGATTGGTGGTATATTTTTTGGTCCTAGGTCAACATTTGACCTACTTTTGACCGGTCAAAGGTCAAATTTTCGGAAAAATATACTTTTTTCAACTTTCCGCGGCGATTGCGGCAAAACGGTGGGAGATATCGACTTGAAACCTTCACTATCGTGTTCCTTGATCAATTCTCTATCGTTTGGTATGTATTTCGTTTCCCTAGCTCTAAAAATGGCGCGTTGGGAGCGCCGGAAGTCGGCAAGGTCACAGTCGGCGGCAGAAATTCGAAAAATCAAAATTTAAATTTTTGAAATCTGATTGTATTTTTGGATTTGGAAGGTCCATTTGCTCCCTATAGAAGCTAATATTGCTGCATATTCCCATTGAGGTGACAAGAATTAGCAAAATAGTGGTTCGGGCGCTTTTCAAAAATAGTACCGGACGCTGTTCCTCTTGTGACGTCATAGCTCCGTGACCTGACCTGACCCGGTCAAGTTTCTTATACCATATGATAGCCAATACTTGCCCCAACAAGCATGGGAAGTTTCATCACGATCCATCAACCGATGTCCGTGCCACCGGCAGGAAACCTCGGGCGTTGGCACTCAGTTTGTGAAAATCCGGCCGGAGGCTGTTCCCTTTGTGACGTCATAACTCCGTGACCTGACATGACCCGGTCAAATTTTTTTATCAAAAGATGCGCAAGGTTTGCCCCATAAGGTACCCAAAATTTGGCGGCGCTGCGCGCCGCCGTTTTTGTACTATTTCCGAAAAACCTCAGGGGGGGGGGTTGCACCAACCCCCCCCCTACATGGGCGAGGGTTAATAAGTTTGTTACACAAAAAGTGTTCGATACATGGCATCGAAATTTCATTGCTAATTGAAAAATGACAGGCATATGCCTACGTTGATCGTAATTTTACGTCATAAAAGAAGTGGGAGGAACCATTCAGCTCCATTTTTTCAAGAATTCTATTTATCCGAATGCTATCCGAGATTATTAGTCATTTCATAGTAAAAATCGTAATAAAGCTAGGTAATGCACAGTGATGGCGACAGGCGACAGCTGAAGGAAGTCTGATTTAGATCCTTTTAAATTCATAAAACGACAAATATCCCACACCAAGCCCATGATAAGGCACCTCACTAGGGTTTTCGTTGAAAGCCTTGTAAACCTTTGCATTTCTGTAGTGAAGGTACACCGCTCCTGTTAACTCCCTATTCAAAGTGGACTACGTCCAAGCTCCGAGCGGCCCGCCGTTATTTCCATGTCGTGGGTAGCTGCATTAATAGCATGGCAGGCTCCTTGCGATGTTAAAATGTGACTATCCAGTTGGCGTGGGGAAAATTATGCAGGATGATCGGGAACAATGTCACGGTAAATGCAGGTACGAAGTAAAATCGTGAAACACAGACAGCAAACTAATCATCAATACCACAGTCCACGGGAGCGCAGGTCTAGCCATCTGGTGGCAACAGGTGGAGATTAAAACACAGCACAGCTGAATCCACTCACCGTGTCAGCGCCGGGCTTCCAGCCGGCCGGGCACACCTCGCCGTGCGAGTCGGTGTACTTGAAGGCCTGCACGAGGCGCAGTGTCTCGTCCACCGAGCGGCCCACCGGCAGGTCGTTCATGGTGATCTGACGCAGCACGCCGGCGCCGTCGATAATGAACAGACCTCTGGCGGCGGGGAGCGGAGGCACGCGACGCTCGTCAGACCCAGCGGCCAGGCTAGAGTGCGCCACTGGGGCCGCCGCCGACTTGGAGCGTGGGGACCCGAACAATGAAAATAATTCACACTGGCCGGTAGATCTGAGGTAGAGATATCGTACTGCTGTATATCTGATTTTATTTTTAAAAGATTACCAATAGCTTAATTTTGAGCAAATAATACATAATCTAAATCATCTGTAACATCGTTCTTCTCGATAAATGTGAATTCAAATGCCGGAGCAAAAGGCATCCCGACGATTTTCCACTACCGGTATGGACTGCTGAAAAGAGATAAAAACAGCTGTTATGATTCAGAGTGAGTAGATCATTAAAAAATCTCAGAAAGTGACAGCGCCCAATAGGACTGAGCCCCGCAATCTCGCGCCGCGAGTGATGGAAATCGAGCTCGTGGAACAAAATCGGGCAGCTACTGAGAATCATCTCAGCCAGATCAAAGCATAGCTGAACTACTGAATGAATTGAGTGACCTGGATATTGACTAACAGACCAAAACTGTAGGTGACTGTGCACTGATTCGACGACCGACTCTAGCAGCATGAGCTTGCAGATAAAATGTAATTAACTGAAAAAGGTATAAAGGTAATTGTCAGATGTAAAAAAAGAGCAGGCTAACCTTAAAACTCTTTCCGCTCTTAAGCAGATGTCCTCAAAATATGAGTGCATGGTAAGTAAGGGATAGAAGAAAAGAGGACGCGTGTCAGCTTACGACTTCGCCCAGGCTGCAGTCATTGAATGAAAAAGAATTCACAAACGATGAATGAATTCATCAATGCATGATATGTGCATGATATGATGGCAAGGTGGTCATAGATGAGTGATATCACAGAGCCGATGGCAAAAATCCCAGCGATTTGATACTGACGAACTTGCAAAGCACAAGAGCCGTACCGGCGCTGATCCCGCGCGAACAGATGAGCCCGTCGGAGCACTGCGTGCCCGGGCGTCTGCCCTCACCTGAGCGAGTGGCCCTGGTCCTGCAGGTAGACGCCGTAGTCCTTGGAGATGGCGTGCGTGATGTCGGAGAGGAGCGGGATGCTCAGTTTGCCGAGGCCGCCCTCCTTGCGCGGCGTGTTCATCCAGGCCAGGTGAGTGAACTGCGAGTCGATCGAGCACGCCACTACCTCGGCGCCCAGCGCGCGGAACTCCTCCACGCGGTCGTTGAACGCCAGAATCTCGGTGGGACACACGAACGTGCTGTCGGCCGGCCGGCTCCGGTCAGACGGGGAACAGGGCGCACCAAGTGGCTGTCAGTGCTCCAAACCATGCATGGACCACTTGTCACATCAACTGTATCAAAAAACGAATCAAGGGGTTCTTTATTGTACATCAAAATATTTGGATATACAAAACAATAGAGCAAAAATGTAATAATGCATCAACAAAGTAAAATATGGATTCTTGTTCTAGGAAAAAATGGAGGAAAGATTTTGCATATCAAGCAAATGTCAGCCAAAAGATAATTTCACCTTGTTTCAACAAGCAGAGCAATTGAATGTGACTACTATTAACATTACATCACATGGGTGTACAAAGCTTGGGTCATTGAATAATAGTGATGATGGGGACAAGCCAATCATGAACTTACAAGTCAAGAGGATAGAAGAAGAATACTAGATATTTTCCTTTGTAGTCAGTCAGTTTCAGTTCTGTGAACTCCCCATTCACAACAGCAGTGCCCTCCCAGTAGGGTGCAGGCTTGGAAACTGTAAAATGGGTAAATTGGTGAAAACACAATGAAAGAAAGTGAAATGTGGATACACTGCAGTCACACAAATATTATAGTATGAGATAATGCACCTGGCATGTGTGTGTTGTAAGGAGTGTACAAAATGCACTAGGTGTACCTATGTACTAAAAATGTTACAAGCTGCAATTGCATAGGTTTCTCTGAGTAAGAGAATTCACCATCAACAAAGCAAAATAATGCTTTATAAAAAAAAACAATCTGGGTCCCTCCTTATTCCTGCTACATGCAAAAATGAGTATCATGATCATAAACATAACAGCAGAAAATCCGGCAAAACACTGACATGGATGACCTGAGATTAAACATACATACAATACACATTGCTTTGAACCTCACAAATAGGAACATGTTATTTTGTCTGCCCACATTCCTCTTTTTGTAGCATGGAGCTAACTAATGCAAGAAATATATCAAGATATTCTCACTAATCTACAAAATCCTGACAAGATGATCTTAGGATGACAAATTGGCTATTACAGATACTGATACTGACCATAAGGCAGGAGGGGCTTGAGGAAAGGAAAGGTAGGTAACCCATATCCACCTAAAACTTGTTGAATTTAGCTTAGTTGATTCAATGAAATTGTCAATGAAATAAAAGTGAGCTGAATTAGAAGAAAAAGGTTGTCATTTCCAAAACCAATCACTGAAAAATACCGAGTCTGGTACATATGGACATGGTCCCAATCCATGATAATACAAAAATAACTACTATACTTTGAGAGGTAGTTGTAAAGCAGGCGCCACACTTGTGTTCTGCAATTAAGGAGAGGTGCTTTATCTAGAGATGCTTTCTAGTTTCTTATCAAACCAAACCAAACCTAACCAAACCTGACCTAACCTTACCTACAACCTTCAACCTAAAACCTACAGCCCTAAGCCAAAACCTACCACCTTGGTATTTTATACGAAATATCATTCAGACTTCACATATAATTGCACCTTGATTGCAATCATTAAAGATACAAGGCAGCAAAAGGGAAGGAAAATAAAAAACTGCAAGTATTTGGACAAATTCTAAAAAAAGAAGTTCAGATTCGAAAAATAAAACAAGAAAAACTCACTCATAGCCTTCGTCCATTGAAGCGCATGACCAGATGCCTTCCCTGCCTCTTGCGGGTAAACAGATCCACCAGCAAACTCATGGCACGCCTCTTCTGATACAGTAGCGCCGAGAAGAGCTAAGCATGTCGCTGTGAAGAAAAGCATCATGATTTCAATTGAAATAGGTAAGATTGAAATCCAAATATAACCGGAGCGCCCCCGCCCCACGATCACCACCGGAACGCCACGTCACAACAAACAAACCGGCTTGAGCCCATTCGCCGCACACCGCTCATATTTGTATGTGAATAACAATAGTAGGAAGCAAGTAGTAAATTATGGGCCTGTTCCAGCGCCTCCAGTAGAAATTCTTGACTGGAGGCTCTACCAGAGGTTTCACTGGAGGCGCTGGAACGCAATCTGGAGATTTCTGGAGCTTGGCATCACAGATACCAAAAGAATGACGATTGTTCTCTCTTGATACGCAAAATTTGTTTTCAATTTTATTAAGAAATATTAACAAAATTATAGCAATGTAATTTTCATTACATTCAAGTTGTAGAATAATCAGTCAAAAGTCCTTTGTTTACATTCGTGATTGTCTTATGTGCGCCATAATTGTAGACCAGAGCCTCCAGAGAAATTTGGACCTTCCAACTCTCTGGAGGCTACTGGAGGTTTCTGGAGCTTTGGCGAGAGCTTTCTGGAGCTTTCTGGAGGCGCTGGAACGCTCTCTGGAGGATTCTAGAGCTTTCTGGAGCTTTCTGGAGGTTTCTGGAGGCGCTGGAACAGGCCCTATACTTGACGTCATCACAACTTACCACAGCTGGGTAAAGTCAGGTGGGTGACGGCACGTGATCGCCTGAGGCGGTGGGGGTAAAAAATTTTTCGTCATTTAATGCTCAATGCAATCGCTGCGACTTCAACTTTTTACAAGACCTTCTCCTCGTCGTTGTTTGTTGCTTTCAACGGCCAGTGTTGCCGTTGGGAATTTTCGACGCGTACCAGATTCTGAGTGGAAATGTACCTAACCAAAACGAACGAACCTATTTCGTACCATATGGGGTATGCCAATGTACATACCAGGTTATGTACCCATAGGCGGTGGAACGGGGAGGGCACCGGGGCACCGTGCCGCCCTTTGATTTTGACCTTTTAATTAGCCCTATGGGCGTTGCATGGAAAAAATGGGACCAAAAGTCGGCAGTGCCCCTCTTAATTAAAGGTGTTCCGCCGCTACTGGTATAAAATACACCAAAACGTCTTAGATCAGGGGCATTCCACGTCAAATCGAACAAAAATCGGCTGTTTTGCACCTTACCATCAGCGATTTCATTATAAATTTGTTAGCGAGTTCCTGTGTCGCCCCGGACATTACATTGATGTTTTTTGCACATTCTGACCACAGGTCTTCTAAATATAGGGCATCAAATTTTTACAAAATGTTGCATCTTTATATTTTTGAACGACCATAACTTTGGTTGTACTTGTTTGATTTGAATGAAATAAACCTTACTGTTTAGGTAATTTCTTAAGCATTTGTTTAGAATTGCATCGACTTAAATATATGACCTTGAAATTTGCTTAACTCTGTTCTTAAGCACAAAAATTGAAATAGCAAAAAACACGCCACCTTCGATTTGGCTCATTTTCATGTATTTTATTGCCTACCATATTCTTAACAACCTGTGATAAAATTAGAGTGGGCCATTCATAAGTTTTGAAGAAAATGGCACATATGCAAACGTATGTTAGCACGCGCAGTGGAGGGGGAAGAGTGAATTTCGCCCCACCCCTCCTGTTTTTCGCCAGTATCTCATAATATTGATGCGAAATTACTTATGGCTACCTGTCCAGAATTGAATTGCACATCTCATCGTGCAAGCAATAAGAAAATCGGTTCACAACTGTTCTAGTAATAGCGGTGTAAAGTGAACATCCTGTCGCCGCGGCGACGCGGCGACTCGGCAGCCGGCGCCGACCGCTACGCGCCGCCTGAATTGTAGACTGTGCCGGGACGGAACGGAACGGTTCCGTCTTTACATCGCGCTCCTTACCGCTGATTACGTTCGATTCGCGTCAAATTTTGTGAGAAGACTAAGAAATGTACAGGCAATCTTATGGTGAAAGAATTCTGAAAATAGGTTGGTAAACAATTGAAATATGAACGTGTAAACACAAAATTGTGACTGCTGCGTTTCCCGCGTCGGCCGATCCCGCCTCAGCCGGCGACATGTTACTCTTAGCAGGACTCTAACTGCCATATTTATTATCGGATTAACTAGAAATTCCCCATACATACTCAAAAAATGTATGTTCTTTCGTATAGTGAAGATCAAAAGACGTGAAGATATCGTTGCGTGATAATGTTTTCCAGGGGCGCCGCCACGGATTTTTGACTGGGGGGGACGGACTGACCGGCCCATTCCCACCGAGTACCTACCTATATACAGTATACACATCTGATGTCCGATTCAGTTTGACACGGCAAAGCCTCGTGTTCTATCACGGTATTATTGCTGATATATGCCACTAATATGATCGATAATGCATATTGCATACCCGCGTGGGGGAGGGGGCGTTGTATAGTCACAAATCTCTCTTTTTGGTTGGTGCACGAATCGGCGCGAAGCGCCGCGAAAATTGGCAAAAAAAAACATGAGGCAAAACTGCTCCAAAATACGAATTTTGCAGCCCGTGTAACAAGCTTGATACCAGAAAACCTTAGGTCAGGAAAACCAAGTCAAATAGTCAAGTCGCCTCAAAGTTTTGTGGTCCTGTCAACCGTATAGCTTATTTCTTAGAAGCTGGAAATTTAGTGTAGCGTGACTGCAGAAGTGTGGGGTCGGAGCCGGAATCAGTCGGAGTTGACTGTTTTGGCCAGTTTTGGCCAGAGTCGGAGTTGAAGTCTTCGAAAATGTTCGGATTTTGACTTCGAGGTCGGATTGGTGTAAAGTCATGCTCTTGGCTGGTTAGACGAAATATATTAGGCCCGTGTTCGGCCAGTCGTGTTATACGACACACGTCGATCACGATATCAAAAATCGGCAGTTCCGCGATGACAGGTCGGATAAGAGCTGGAGATTTTGATTTTGTTGGCCGAGGTGGCAGGGGTCAGACCAATGCATGTAGGCCCACGCCCCATATACTGAGTATCTAAACCTCCTGGACCCACCTCCGTTCCATCGCTTCCATCCTCAGGATACATAAATCCTTCTTCTCCACGCCGCAACCCCCACTCCGGGCTGGACAGGCACCTTTATCTCATGCGGGCTGCTCCCTTGGAGCGGCACCGCTGCTTCAGAGGGAGCGCACCCCGTAGCCGGGTGCAGAGAGTGCTTGGGGGGCTGGTCGGCCTGTCCTTTCGGACGGGCTCAGCCCCGGCGACTCTCTAGGGCGTCTACCCAGACCAATGTCTCCCCCTAATTCCTATCATCCTTCCGGCCCTGAAATGGTCTCGTCAGACCGAAAGGGCCTAACCCAACAAAACAAACAATCCTAGACCCTCTCAGATTCGGCACCGGCCGTTCCATCTCTTCCATCCTTAGGACAGTCAAATCCTTCTCCTCCACGCCGCAACCCCCTGCTCCGGGCTGGACGGGCAACTCTATCCCATGCGGGAATGGCTCCACGTGGAGCTATAGTTGTATGGAGCCATAGAGCTATAGCTCCAGTGCACTGGAGTCCTTTGCCGGGTCCTTTGCCGGGTGCAGTGAGTTACCAGTGGGCTGGGCTGCCTGTTCAATTGGTCGGGTTCATCCCAAGTGGCTCACTGGTGTGGCTGCCCCGACCAATGTCTCCCACTAATTCTTTCATACTTGCGGCTCTGAAATGGTCTCATTGGACCGAAGGGCCTAATCAAATTTCGAGTAGAATAACAACCAGTAAAACGCCTTTTGGGGCGACCAACGGAGCGAGCGAGAGGGTGGGGTGGGCCTTGCACGTGCGAAATTGCGAGGGGATACCTCCAACTACCTTGTGCACTGCACCCTTCTAACCGGTCCCTAACGATGTGCCAAATTTGAGCGCAATCGGCCTAGCCGTTCTCGAGATCTGGAAGCGGTACCCTGCAAGTGCGCACGTGCAAAATGGGTCCCAACTGACTTTTGCACGGCACCCTACCAACCGGTCCCTAACCATGTATCAGATTTCAGCACAATCGGTTCAGCCGTTCTCGAGATCTGGAATCGACCCCTGCATGTGCGCACGTGCAGCAGCACCCCAACTGTGGCACACGGATATGCATTGCCTAGTGGGTATACCTCCTACCTACATGCCAACTTTCAGCGCAATCGGCCCAGTAGTTGCCGAGATATTGAAATTGTTACAAAACTGACACCTCTTCGTTTTTCACGTGGCACGTGCATATGGGGTCACTCAAATGCATCGGGAATAGTCCGATGCTCGTTAGAAGGAATGAATCTAGTGCTACCCTATACAAAAATTACCGCATGTAGGTAAATCGGTTAAGTGGTTGCTGAGATATAAGCCTAGCAAAAGCGTGACCACGGCATACTCAGAAATTTCCGTTAACCTACGAAAGACTACGCTCGCTTCGCTCGCTCCGTGATGAGTTTGGGGGGGACGTCCCCCTTCCATTCTGAGAGTGGGGGGGACGCGTCCCCCCCGTCCCCCCCGGTGGCGGCGCCCATGATGTTTTCGTTGAATTTATTTCATGATGCATTTCCACACGGCTCAAAATTCACCGCAAAATACCGTTTGCCTGAGACACTTTTACAATGGAACGTGAATGCTTGACTACGATGACTATGCATTTCCATTCTCGCAGAGTTTGGGATATCACTAATCAGCAATCATTCATTTCAGAAAGTGTACACAAGCAAGCATGTCTTGACTCTGTCTTTCAAGGTCACGCGCGGTTGCGTGATGTTGATGCATGAAAACGGCGTTTGCCGCGAAAGTTATGAATGGCCCACTCCAATTTTTTCACAGATGGTTAGGAACATTGTGACGGACATAATATGTAAAAATTACTCAAATCGAAGGTGGCGTGTTTTTTGCTATTCAAATTTTTCTGTTTTAATTCAAGGTCAAATGCATTTCAAGGTCACTTCAATTTAATTTTATAATTAAAAATCAAAGCCTTATCAATTGCCTACAAGACCCTGTTAATATCATTTTGATACCAGAAAAGGAACCAGAGTTATAAGCATTTAAAAAAATGATGTGTGGCATTTTTGGCTATATTTGATGACCTATATCTCGGCGATACGTTATCAAAATTCGAAAATATTACACGTAACTCAGTTTTGAACCATGCCCAGTCTGCCTACAAATTTTCAGAAAAATCGAAGGGGATGACGGATTTCGGTGTTTGATTTGACGTGGAATGCCCCATCAGCCACCTATCCGTGCTTCTATCCTCAGGATACAGAAATCTTTCTCCTCCACGCCGCAACCCCCTTCCGGGCTGGACAGGCAACTTTATCTCATGCGGGCTGCTCCCTTGAAGCGGCACCGCTGCTCCCGAGGGAGCTGCACCCCGTA